ACTCCGCACCACTTGACTCCACTCCACTCCACTCCATAAGCCGCCATATCCCCACCCCGACACTAGTCGTGGAAAGGTATTGATTAACACTTTTGTTATGAAGTTTGTGTTTGGAAAGAACGTTAATCTTGTAAAATCTTGCACAGTGGAAAGGCCAGGCACCTTGAGAGATTTGGGAATGGTTGTTTTCGCAATATCCAATGTAGTAGGTGCATGTTTGTCAGTTTATGTGAGTGTTGTGTTTCGACATTCATTACTGTCCTGCCAAAGATGGTTCAGCCGTTTCACGGATTTGGACTTTAGCCACACAACAGTTTCGTTGCGTTAGTTGCGCCGATACAGCAACAACAGCAAGCAATCTGGTTAGGAGCCCAAGTCGTGAACTATGTGGAGTTTCTTTATGAAACAACTGTTGGTAGAGCTTGATGAACCATATCACTTGGCGATTGCGCATTCATGGTTGGCCATAGCCAATCTTCGTCATCTTAGCAGCGCATGGCAACTATCATGACAGCAGAGGTGCAAACGGCATTCGGTGTAGGCATGGGAATTGAAATTTGAAGTCGGCATTTGCGAGAAGCTTCGGTGCCCGACATTCCAAGATTGCCGATTGATTGGAGAATATGAATGACAGCGCAGTCATGCAAAATCAGCTGTCCAAATTAATGCACCTCTGCAGGCCGCGCTCTTTGATCCGTACCTTGTTGCAGAGTACGATCCCTATGGAGGTGGGCATTTGAAGGTGCACCACAATTCAAGACTTTATGGCTGTGTTGGTTAGTTGTAAGACCTTCTTTGTTGAAGGGCTTGCAGAGCTGAAGACTGTTTGACTAGCAAGTGCTCGTTTGGAGCATTTTCTTGTGTTTTCACGGCCTTTTTTTTTTTTCCACTTCGCATTGATGAACAAGAAGAGCTCTCATCATCCTAAGAAAGCAAACCCGAAGGACTAAGACTAAACCACGAATTGGCCGGCGCAAGCCCAACACCTGAACACGCACAAAACGCCCCGCGCCTCCGAGAACAACTGCCGCCTGTGCCTTCAGCTCGGAAGGTGGAGCCGCCGAGGAGGCCGAGGAGGCCGAGGAGGCCGAGGCCGAGGCCGAGGTCGCCGGCAGCGTCTCAGAAAGGGTTTTAGTCACAGTGGGTGCCAGATTTCATGTACGGGTTGCTTTCCGATGTTTGATTCGCTTTGACTGCAACGTCTCAAATGCTCGTGTTGCCATGGTCGGTTTTGCTGCTGTGAACAGGGGTTGGGCGATGTTAGGAGAGGGTTCAGGGCGGCTGCTGCTGAGACTTATCCTTTGGTAGGAGGAGTGCATCGAGATTCTGGATGAGGAAGACGAAGGCGAGGCGTATGGAGAAGACCAGCCAGACGAGTCGGCAGAGGCCGGTTTGGGAAACAGAGTTGACGCACGCCGCTGGGTCCAGACAGTTTTGATACTCTGAGCACAGCAGCTATTCCGGCGAGCAGGTTTCAGGGTTCCATGTCGAAATCCATTTGACGCCACCATGGGCTCCATCCCGCAACGAGGTTCGAAGATGCAGTGTAATCCAACGGACAGGCTGTTTTGCGGATTGCCTTATACTATGACTCTGAAGACCCGAGCGTATCCCTTACCTGGCTTTGCCGGCCAGCTCGACAGGTAGCTCCCAAAGAATTGGAGGACCCAAGCTCGACATGGCAGGCTGGGGTGTGTTCTTGGGGGAGAGTTGAATGGCTTTCATCTCGATGTGGGTGGCGAGTTCGGACTTAACTTTAAAATGACCGAAGACGAGATCTGAGAATCCTGTGTGATGAATGTGAAGTCGACTTTGGCCAAACGGAGTGAGGGTCGGCAGAATCAATCAGAGCTGTCACGCACTGCCTCGAAGATGCTTCACAGGCATTTAGAGCATCTAAACGCACCACATCTGCACTCAAGGTGGCGGAGGAGACCCCGTTGCTTCCACCAGATGGCTTCGACGAACCGAGGCGGATGTGTGGGGTGGGGCTGTGGTCGAGTTTGCCTGCTTCTTCCAGAAACCGGAAGAAGTGTGCTGGCTATTGTTTCAGCTGTCATTTTACAAAAAAAGGTTAACAGATCGATAGATAGATAGATTGATGGATAGATGGGCAGACACATAGACAGATAGAAACAGACAGATCCACAGATAGAGAGAGAGAGCGAGAGAGAGAGAGAGAGAGATAGAGAGAGAGAGAGAGAGAGAGCGCGAGAGAGAGGGAGAGAGAGAGAAAGAGAGCCCCAAAACACATGGGCCCAGTGGAAGAAAGAGAGAGAGAGAGAGAGATAGTGTAGATATTAGGCAAACAGGTGATGTCTATGCTTCGTCTGACACCGACAGGAACATTGCTGGATGCTAATAGCTAACATCCCCGTTCAATATCTTGAGCCCTGAACCTTGCAACAGTCGTTTATGAAGGCAACTGCTCGAGGAGGATACTTTGCCGGAGGAGGCAGTCTTTCAATTTCGGTTGCATCCTTGTGTGTGTGAGTGAAAAAGATTCTGTATGAGATTGCTTGCATGTTTCCGCACGGGGTATCGTGTGCTCAGCCTTGATGAATCTCGCAGCGCTTCGTTCTGAGATCGCGGTGCATGAATTGCTTGTACTTGTGTTTAGGCCAAAGGAGCATCCCGAACACTTTCAGGGGCTCACGCCACGTCGAACTCGCTCCTCGTGCCATGGAGCTTGCAGTCTCAGTTCTCATGATGCATCGCCCAGGCAGAGACTCTCGAAGTTTACGAAGAGGCAGAGGCGAGCGAGCAGGGTGCCGCCTCGACCTTTTTCGGGGTAAAGCTTCCGAGCAACCGAAGTCATTCTACTAGTAGTTCCACAAGTCACTCCTTGCAAGACTTCGCAATGCTGTTGCTAATTCACCTTTTGCTGGCTTTGCACACCATGAACCGTATGCAGCACTTGCTGGCAAATTGTGACAGGGAAAGGACATGCTGCCAAATTGTGACACAGTATTTTCTGACAGCGGATGGCACGGGAAGTCGCCAGCTTCAAAGGCTCCTTTCCTCATTTGTCATGCCGCTCCTGACCGTGTGGCCTCCAGGATTTCATGGAAGAGGCTGCCGAAGTGGGGGAAGCCGGGCGCTTGGCTGTTCGCACGGTGACATCCGGTCCGCTTAGGCATGGCAAACGAAGCACGAGAAAACAGTGTTGCCTTCCCGAGCTGCTTTAGATTCGTTTTTTTGCCAGACTAGTCCGATAATGACACCGGGACGCAATCCCAAACTAACTCTGAATCTACAGTTTCGACATCTCCAACTTCGGAGCTTGACAGGTGGGGGAGGGGCTCGTCTTTGAAGAGGCGGCGTCCAAGTCTGCCGTGAGCTTTGTGTTTTTGCAGTGCGATTTCCCAGGTAACTGAGTTCTGCTAGGCTTTGGGCTCTTCAAAGCCTTGTACGAAACCTTGCAACATTTTTGGGCGGTTTGCATTTAGGCAGGAGAGAGGAGAGCTCCGATCAGTAGAAGCCCAAGCTGGCAGAGCCGCAGGAAGAGGCCGAGGCCTCTCGGTCTGTTTCTTGGGTGTCGTTTGGGGTTGTGGCTCCGTGCATTTGCGAACCCCAAGCCAGGAGGAGGCACTTGTCCCGTACGGCGATGCCGATGCTGACGAGGTCGGCGTGGGCCTGGAATGGCCATAAATTGACTTTAAAAACAATCCCGGCAGGCAGGGGTACTGCTTCCCGAGACGGCCGAGGAAGATCTCCAGGCCTGCCTCATTCCTTTGGTGCATTTTGCGAGCCGAGGGCCCGCTAGAGGGCCCAAGCCCAAGAGCCCGCGCGGTTCAGGAAGCCGAGGAGCCCTTGGACCTGGAGCTCCTGGAGCCGGAGGTGTTGGGGCCGCACCAGGACGAAGAGTCCAAGTAGCGTTCCTTCTTAGGGGATGCTGGGGTTTCATCTGGATTCATCCCCATCCGGATAAGCTGAAGCCACCGAGCCTAGGGCGAGGCGGCGGAGCCTCCTGGTGAGGTCGGCGAGGTTGGTGGGCTGCATGCTTTACAACGCCCTGCTACCATTTAGACACACAGATCCCATCCAGACTGAACAGCTCTCTCTTAAGATTCAGATCAGCCAATGTTCAATTCCTTCGACTTAACATGCTGGTGTGATTCATTGAACCGATGAGCCAGGCAGGTGAGTCTTCAATCGCTTCTATGCATCCGATTTGATGTGTGTGTCTGTTGAGCCCCAATATTCGAAGCAGAATTGACAAAATCTGCCTACAGATCCACAGGACTTTCTTTTGTCTTGGAGGGTTTCGGAGCATGGAAAACAGCATAGAGCAATAGCTCTGATAATGCTAGCTTTCGTGTGGCTTTTTCTACTCTGATTACTCGGAGCGATGTTGGCTTGTGACTTTGTTGAACGATGTTGCTGACATAGTGATGATGGTGATAGTGTTGGTGATCGCAAAATTTCGATCATGGATGATTGCGGTGCAATGATTCGATGATGGCCAGGATGACCATGATGAGGATGAGATGATGATGACGATGATGATGGCATTGATGCTGGTGATGCTAGCGATACTGGTGATGCTGGTGATCGTTGTGGTGATGGTGATGATGTGGTTGCGGTTGTAAGCAGAGGTATGACAAAGAACACTGGAATAGGCTAAAGGCTAATAGTAGACATAGCAAGAAGAAGATGATGCTCCCACAGCTGCGCGAGATGATGCTACTCATGGCGATGATGACGACAATGATGATCACGATGATGGAAGTATGTATCTGTATACTGTATACTATGTATGAGTACATGTAAGTATATCAAAGCAGTGACACTGTGCTTGATAAGTATGCTGCTCGGCCGCCCGCAGCTGTGGTGCGCTCAAGCCAAGCAGCCCACAGGACTCCCTTCGGCGAGGAAGTGTAGAAAGGGGAAAGCCCCTCGGATTTAGGACCTCCGAAACCTTAGTGATGCCTTCTAAGAAGGCCTGCCTAGTCTTTGGTGAAGATCCGCATGGCATTTACGTGCGCATTGTCTGGGGTGTCGTTGTGAGTCGACAGCCCTGAGCCCTCGGAGCCGTGGAGTAGCTTTAACTAGCAGGTCTCTCGGAGCTCCCTGCAGTAAGTTGAGGGACGTTCGGTGCCTCTGAGCGAGCATTGGGTTGATTTCAGAAACCCTCGCCTTCCGTGCAGTCATGGAGACGGACTGACTCAAAAAGCGGATCCCAAACGCAATTGTTTCAAGCTCAAGTCACCTTCAGGCCTTGAGCCGTCAAGCCAAATGCTAATTCGAAACCCTCAAGCCCCAAGCCCCTAAATCCAAAACGCCCCAAGCCCCCAAAACACCGAACTTCCTTGTCAGATGGTCAGCGGCCTCGGCCTCGCTGGCGCAATCGGAGGTGCACGGCCACAAGTGGGGCATCCGACACTCAGTGGTAGCTCTCATCCGTCAACACTGTCATGTCGTGTCGTAGAAGAAATATACGTCAGCAGTTGTAGTTGGGTTGGTGGCGTATTTACGGTGCTGGTGGTGGTGATGGTAGTGGCCATGCTACGTGCAAAGACAAGAGTGCTCGCAGCAAAACTGACGATATGTGAAGGGTGGCAGAGTGGCAGAGCAAGCAGAAGAACGAAGACTATGCAGGGCACAGAACGGCAACAGGAGCAGCAAGCTTCTGAAGCTTGACAACAAGCGAAGACCAAGCAGAGCAAGGACAGTAGCACCAGGATTACGAAACGAAGGAGTCACGCCGGGCAATGGCTGAGAAAATCAACGGTGGTCTTGCTTGTAGCACAGCGAGGTGCAGCCTTCCTCGGGCCTAGCGCGGCGCCAAGCAGCGCCCCAACCACTTCCCTCCGGCGGGGGAATCAGGCCAGGAAACTTGCAGGTGTATTGAGAAATACTAACTCCTGCTACAGTAGAATGCATGATATCGATACATGTTGCATGAGCATATCGCGTCGCACGTCGGGCTAATTCAGCTAGTGATGTTGCGCATCAGGGGGCGGAGCCACCAGCCATAAATGTAGCCGTGGATGTGATAGAGTCGAAATCCCGCACACCCAGAATACATTGATGCTTTAGAGTGGAAGTCCCAAGACAAGAGCCAGCAAGGCCCAGTTCGCTTGCTCTATCTTCAGGGTTTGAGGCTGAGCATAGGTCGGGCTTAGCCCCGCTTGCATGGGATGTGGTCATTGTGAACCGTGCACCGAACCGTCCCGTGACGAGGCATATTGCTGATTCGTACGGAAGGTGACAGATTTTTACCATGCAGGATGTCTTGCTCAGCAATGAGCTGCTCATGACGAGCTGTTCAAGTCTGTAAACCATGCTGATGGAGATCATTCTGCAGTTGGAAGCACACCCAAGAATTGTGGATGTGGCATTTTGAACATGCACGCTGACCACTGCACCGCAGATCCGAAACCGTAAGGCAGATTGAACACACTGCAGTCCATACTCTTCAGCAAAGCTTTCTGAACTCTGCTGCCCAGTCCGCGCAGCCCAGCAGCGCGGCACCCACCGCAGCCGCCGGCTGCGTCGTGTCGGCCGGAGCCGTCCTTGCTAGCCAGGTGCCGGCACGGATGTGACTCCTATGGGGCGTGCTTTGTTCAGAGATTGGGGAGACTCGCAAAGGCCTGCCGAGTCGGGCCAAGGCAAGTGGGCAGAGCCCGAAAGGGCAGCGAATCTACGTAGGTTTCCATCTCTTCTAGAGCATTGCTTGTAGCCAAGAAGTCCCATAGGAAGTGGTCACGGATGTTGCTGCAGGTGAGAAAAGCGCAGGCGCTGCAGGGTGGGCGGATGGGCTTTAGTGCTTCAGCACCTTCAGTGTTGAAGAGTCCGGACCGGACCAGGTTTTAGCCTAGCGTTTGTCTTCTGCAAGTGATGGAAAGAGCTTAGAGTGGATTGAAAGAAAGCATCTCTAGTCCGAGCCCAGTCTTGAAGGTCTGGGCCCGGGCCTAGCGAGTTCTGTCCTGAGGCCTCTTCCTCCAAGTTCACCACAGCGCTCCGGGCCTTCGAGCAGGCCAGGCACGTCACGGCACGCCAGGCCGAAGAGGTCCTTTCTGTAGCAAGGAGACCTGCAGCAATGGTCCGGTGGTCGCCGGTTGACACAGTACATCACAATGGCCGCACGACCAATATCAATGAAAGATAATGAAAGTAGCAAATTCGCGAATGGACATGAACCATCGTGCTTAGCATGGTCTTCCTGAGTCATCATGATCACGGTGACGATCTTGAGCCTACCAACCCTCCGCGAGGTTCGGGAAAACTGACGGAGTCAAAGAAATCAAAGAAGACATCTATCTCAAGCATACCAGTAGCCGTAACAACCAGGTGTTTCAGAGCAATCGTTTTACTGAGCTCCTTGGAAAGGAGCTTGGCGTGCAGCCTCCAGTCGGATACTGGGATCCGTTTCTGGGCTTGCACTGGTGGTTTCGGCGGTTTCTTCGGTTTTCTTTGTTTATGGGTGGCTGTATGCTTGGATAGGAAAGTCTACAGCATGTGCGTGTGCCGTGGTGGATGTTCAGCAAAGCCCGAGCCCAAAAAACTTCGCCTTCTTCATCATGTGCTCTTCGTGGACCAAGGACCTGCAGGTCACGTAAGCACTCAAGCGACGAAACCTCAAAGCCCTGCAAGCCCAAGGCCTCTTTGCGCACGGCTAGCTCTGAATCTCGCAGCCCTAAATAAATTAAGAAAGGTGCTCTGAATGACGGGAATAGATATCAGGCCCGCTTGCACACCTGCAAAGCCCTGAGCCCTCAGCGCCCAGACAAGGCTTGGTCTCGCCCGTGACGGCGATGTGGAGGCGTTCATGCGCAGGCCGCTCCCTTTTGGGGTTTGTCGGAGTTTGCTTTTATGGGCGGTTTAGGTTTCGCCCAGTTGGGGATTGTTTTTAACTTAAATCTTATCTATCCGTGCTCACTTGGTCGTCTGATTTCGCACTAGACCCGCAACCACAGGCCCTTGCAACGCTCGGGGCTGGTTTAGAAATCAGGCTGAACGACGCTGCTCGCAATTCGGAATCCTCGAAGCTGACTGCTGCCGCTGCTGTTGCTGCCACCACTACCACTTGCTACTTCAACTGGCTGCTGCCCTTACTGCCATTCGTAGTTCCTTGCTGCCGAGGCGTTCCGTGGAGCTGAAGCACGGTCGCATCGCGATGCTCGCGACTATGGGCCGGATTGCTCAGCTTGTAGGCTTTGGTTGATTCTCAAGTTCAACCCTGAATCTAAGACGAGAGATTGTTTGCTCTTCGGTGCACGAGGCTACATCACCCCTGAGATCGCAGGAAAGTTCCCAGGCAGATCGTTGCGTGCACTTGCTTTAAGTCGTCCGACAAGCCGGAAGCTTGTTTCGCCCGAAGCCCAGCCCAACGACAACCACAAGGCGAAGATAGAAGCAACGAAAGCCCCGAAGCCTTGAAGGGTTCCGAGGCTTGTTCTTCGACTTGACAGGGCTTTGCAGCTGCGGGGTTGTTCGAGGTTCAGCCGGTTGAGGATCCCTGGAGGAATTTCCGGGGGAATCACGCTCGGAGGCTTCCTCTCCCCGAGCATGGGCCTGAAGTTCGCGGATGTGCCCAACGGACTTGCAGCGATCTCAAAGGCTGGGCTCAGAGGGCGGAACAGCACCAAAAAATGACCAGATATCTGGCTCTGGCCTCCAGACCTGCATTCTGCGAGCCACAGCCCTCGAAATCCCCGGAGCTTGGCATTGGAAGCTCGTGTCGAAGGTGCCTGCTGGGGGCTGGACCCAGATCCTGCGGCTGAGCTGCATGTCTCGTGACCGAGGGTCCTTTTGATTTTGGCGCTACTGGCTTCAACACTGGTATCGCTTTGGAAACCAGGAATCCCCAAGTGCCCGCAACGGCCAAGGCTCTACATGGGATGGTGCGAGGTCTCTCGTGGAGCAGGCTCGCTGAAGCCCAAAGCCCGAGCGGGCTAGGGTTGCCTTCCATGTGCTGTTAGCTTAGCACAGATCGCCCCGTAGCATTCGGTTCAAAGTTCTAGTTAGGCGTTGCGTGTTGT